ACCCCTGTCGCGCGCTCTCCGACCGGAGCGTGGGGGTCTCTTAGGGAGATGGCTGCTCTGGGGTAGTCACCAGGCGCCGGGAAGGCTGGATGGCGTCTGCCCCCAGGAGCTGCCTGGCCGCGCGCGCGCGTCAGCCCCCTCGGTGGAGCTGCGTGCCGATGAGCATGGCCACGCGAGAAGGACGCGGTGTTGGAGCTGGCCGGAGTCGGGCAGTGGCCTTGGGCGAGGGGAGGAGACATTCCGGGCAGTGAATAGAACACTCGGTCATCCTTCCGAAAGGACCAGCAGGTAGCAGGCCTGGAGGCCCCAAGTGAGCAGTGGGCAGCAAGGCAGATGGGTCTTTAAAGGGTCGTTAACATCTTATGTGTCAGTTTCCAGCACTCTTGAATTGCTTCCTCACGGTCTGTCTTCAGAGGCTCAAAACCTCCAGTAGAGTAGAAGCATCACGGAGGCCGCCGTTAACAGGGTACCTGCAAAGAGGGGGGTGTTCAGTAAATACTCCCTGAGAGAATGACCCGGAGATGGGAGACCTGCAGCATAGACCTTCAGCGACAGAGAGGGCGGTGCTGACTGGTTTCTTCCTGAGTGCAAAGCCACTGGACAGTGTACTTACTGGGTCAAGACCTGGCCGGAGAGCAGAGCAGAGCGGCAGTGAGGTTAATCCCTGCAGTTTTAATGAACTGCCTGGTTTCCCACAGTCTCTTCTTGTTTCCAGAAATTTGCACTCCCCCTCCTCATTCCTCCCCTCACCTGGTACAAGGCACACATCTTTCCCATTTCCACTTGGGCACTTCCAAGAGAACATGCTCTGCCCCAGACTTCCCTAGAGGAATCCTATACTCCTCCAGGGTTCCTCCCAGCAGTCTACTTACCTGTTTCTTGCATTTACTTCTCTGCTGTAGAATGAGTTGCTCATTTGCAAGATGCCTAAGACGGTGAGCTGCTTGAAGCTGGAGGTTGGGGGTGTCTCATCCAGTTCATCATTGTATACTCCTGGCACACAATGAATATTTAATGAATGAATGAACAGGTTGCAGATTTATGAAATCGAATCCATAAAACTCAGTTGCCAATTGGATATGAAGGAGGGGAGGGAGGGAGGGAGGGAGGGAGGAATCTTGGTAGACCTCCAGGTTTTCTAGCTGAAGGAGCTGGGTGAGTGATAGCTCCACTGGCCAGATGGGGGGCTAGGAAGAGGAGGGACAGGTTTGAGGAAAATGGCCAAATGATGACTTGTATCTAAGATAATATAGTCCATAAGCCAGAATTGGAGCTCTGATTCTCCAGGGATGTGGGCAGTAGATGGTAGTGTTCTCTGCAAATGGCAGGGGCAGCTGTGAAGCACAGGTAATTGCTTGTCACGTGTAAACCATAGCTGAAGTATTTTGGTTTTTCTTGTTCATGAACGGAAAGTTCCACTCCATGCTCTAACCTTTGTGGGGGGTGGATCCTTTTGTTTCTATTCATTTCTATCCTCAGTGTCTCTTTCTCTGCCCTCCTCTCTAAAATCCAAGGAATATATGTGTGTGTGTGTGTGTGTGTGTGTGTGTGTGTGTGTGTGTGTGTGTGTCTACTCTCTCTCTCTCTCTCTCTCTCTCTCTCTCTCTCTCTCTCTCTCTCTCTCTCTCTCTCTCTGTGTGTGTGTGTGTGTGTGTGTGTGTGTGCGCGCGCGCTCGGTAGCAGTCTTGCAGCTCTCTTTTGGGTTAGGATCAACAGGAGAGGTCTCCATCTCTTGCACAAATTAACCACCCTTTGCCCTCTTGGGTGAAAAAGATGAATAACTCAGTGAACTCTCTAATTTTTTCTCTATGAGGCCCAGACCCGTGATGGTCATTTTCCGGTGTGTGACCTAGGACAAGTAATTAGTCTCTGTGAGATGGTTTTGTTATACTTAAGTGGAAGATAAGAGTGGCTCCCACTTTATGAGGAGTAGGTAAAGCATTCAGTGTGCATGACTTTATTTAGTAACTGGTATATAAATGCTGGGCAAATGCTTAACATTGGGCATTTCCTATTAATTCTCTTATTCATTCATGCAATAAATATTGATCCTCCTGGGTGCTAGAGGCTAGAAACATCAAGCAGAGGATGTACATTATTCCTGGCTTCCAAGATGGCAGAGCACTAAGCAAGCAAGTTGGAGCCTTCTGCATACCGAGATAAAGCTATTGTTCAATAGAAGTGGCACACGTCCTGATTTTTACCTAGGAGGAGGGCACTGCCACTGCAACAAAAACCTTGGAAGCTGAAACCTGTCCAAGTACTTCCACATGACAATCTAACTAGTCAGACCCCAACCTTATCCTTATCAGATTTTTGTTTTGTTTTGCTTTCGTTTTGTTTTGTGACAAGTCTTGCTGTGTTGCCCAGGCTGATCTGAACCTCTTGAGCATAAGAGATCCTCTTGCCTCAGTTTCCCCGGTTGCTGTGGCTGCAGACCCATTCTGTACCCTCAGCGTCAAAACTTTGGTTTTGTTCCGGTGTTTGTTCTTACTCCCGCACAGAATGGACCTCCCACTAGGGTACAGGCAGTAGCAAAACCTAATTAGGCTGATACAGTAGCAGTCACTTCAGGGATACATTTGGAACAGCTGGGGAATATTGGAGACACACTGTTGTCAGGCATTGTAATTTTCTTTCCAAGGCTTCCAGGTGACGTCAAGACGCAGGCAGGGCTGAGAAATACAGATCTAAACCAATTCCGCAATCATTTTTTTTTCTCTTGCAGTGATTGGGTTAGGCATGACCACATGGTGATCCACTCTTGACCAATAGGAAGTTTTTGTAGAGCCGGCGCTAAAGAAGATATTTCTGGAAAAGGATCCCCTATAGCCCAGGTGAAAGACTTTGACACGATTTAAAGTAACCCGCTCTTCTGTACGCACTGTTTAGTCTGCGTGGGAACGTGATACGAAGGAGTTTATCACCATCAATGATGCTCTGAGTATGAGGTAGCTAGACTTGCTGTCTTGTGTCATTAATGTGTTGTTAAGCTTCGGCCCCCTGAATTAACCAGCACAGTGCTTAACTGCAGGCTTCTTGCTGTGTAGCATAATAAACCCTGGTGCAGCTAAAAACATCCTGACCACATCTCTTGTACAGTTTTAAAGTTCACGTTCTTTACATCTAGCTTATCGGCGCTGCCGATTACGGTAATGTGAGGCGGGCCTTCAATAATCATGTGCTTTTCCATGGCTGTGCAGACAAAATTGATGGAGTGGAATAAAGAGGAAAGCTAATGACCCATTTATGCTGTGCTTTCATTCGGAATGCCTGTTTTATTCTGGAAACAAGCTTCTAGGGGCCAAGGATCTAACTCAGACGGTAAAATGCTTGTGGAGCCTATGGGAGAAACCCTGGTTTTTACCTCAGCATGGTGTAAATCGGGCATGGTGGCTCACACCAGTAAGCCCAACATTTGGTGGGGGTGGAAGAATGAAGAACAGGAGTTCAACATTGTGCTTGGCTGCTTAGCAAGTTAGAGGTCAGCCTGGGATATAGGACATGGGCCGTGGCAGTGGGGTGGAGGCTGGGGTCAGGTTGGGGGACATCCAAAAAGGAATTCTAGGCCAATCCATTTATAAAACTAAGAACAATGGAAGAACCTTTCAATTAGATATTTTGGCCAGGGACAATATTAGGCAGAACTATACTCTAAAAATGTGTTTAGTACTTAATGAATATTCCAGTAAAGTTCTAGTGATCCTCTACAAATTTTCAGTGGTTTTATTTTGTTTGTTTGTTTTGGTTTGGGGTTTTTTTCTGGTTTCTGTAGATGCTTCTCAGGTCAAGAGGTAGGCTGTTTTTTTTTTTTTTTTCAACTTCTCACAAACTAGAGTCACATGAGTAGAAGGAACCTCAACTGAGAATGAGACCTCAATGAGATACCCTCACCCCCAACTTGGTCTCTTATAGGCCAGGATGACCTCCAACATGCTATGTAGCCAGGGATGATTGCCTCCATAAGGCTGCTCTGTGTATGTCTGTGGAGGCATTTTCTTGATTAATGATTGATGGAAGATGGCCCAGCCCACTATGGGCAGTGCCATCCATGGGCAAGTGGACCTGGACTGTATAAGAAAGGGAACTGAGCAAACCAGTATACAGCATTGCTTCCTGGGCTCTGCTACAGTTTTCGCCCGCATTCCTGCCTAGGCTTCCCTAGATGATGGAATGAAGGACTATAGCCAGAAAGCCAAACAAACCCTTTTTTTGGTCATGGTGTCATTCACAGCAAAAAGAAAAGTAAATAGGACAGAAGTCAGTATCAGGGCTGTGATGAGCCTGACCATGTTGGCTTTTGGAAGGACTGTGGAAGGATTTTGGAGCTTTGTGTTCCAAAAGGCTATTGAGTTTTCAGAACTTAATCATCTTTGGAAGGTAGGAATGTTGAGAGAGGTGCAGACAATTGAAGGCTTGGCTTTTGAAGTTTCAAAGGGAAGCAAAATCTCCACCAGGGTCATTTGTGTGATATTTTGGGTTAAGAATCTGTAGAAATAAAACCATTGCTTTTCTGGGACAATTGAAGCTGGTTAGCAGAGACTGGAAAATCAGCTCTGATTAACAAGACACCAGCCTCATTCAGCACTCAGAGGGCCTGTCCAATTTCAAGCCAGACAAGGCCCCAGCACTGAGAGGAGGGAATAGACACTGCTCCCACGCCTAACCAAGAAGCTATCTGCAGTTGACACACTCTTGCAAAGGAAAAGTTAATTTTCTCCAGTGGTGTCTAATTGAGTATATTAACCACACTTAAGGGTAGACCCCCAAGCCCATCAGTTGAGGACCAACACCAAACAAACTTGTTATTTTAGTAGATGTTTTTTGTCTCACATTGCTTTGTTTAGGGTTTTGGGTTTTTTTGGTTTTTTTTTGGTCTTTGTCTTTTGCTTGTATATTATGGTTTCCAGTGTGCGTGTATGTTTTCTTCATGTTTTGAAAAAAATTCTTGTTTGATTTCCTTGTTTAGTTGTTTGTTTTCTAAAGGGCTTGGAGTTGGGTTAGTGGGGGAGGATCTGAGAAGAATTGGGGAAGAGGAAACTGATGGGAATTTATCGTATGAAAACTTCTTTTCAATAAAAAAAGAAAAGAAACCTTTTTTGACTTGGGGTGGGAAGGAGCTGGTCTCATTAAGGCAATATCTTCTTCGGTCAGCTGACAGAAGCTGGGGTTTGAGGCAGCATCTCAAACTGGCAGCCAAACTTGGTAATGTGTAAGAGTCCCACATGGTACTGTTTTTGACGGCATGCAGGCAGAAGGATTGAAGCAATCATAGAAAGCAGCTGAGGCTTAATGCTGTGAGAGGTCTGGAAAGGCCATTGGACAGTACATTGGGAAGGGGACCTCAGTTAAGGAACTGCCTCCTTCAGGCTGGTCTGTGGCAGGTATTTTCTTGATTAATAATTGTGCTGGTTGTTTTTCATTAACTTCACACAAACTTGAAGTCATTTGGGAAGAGGGACCCCCAATTGAGAAAATGCCACTACCAGATGGACCAGGTAAACCCCTAGGGTGTTTTCTTATTGATGTGGGATGGTCCCACACATTGTGGTTGATGCCACTCTGGGGCTAGTGGTCCTGGATGCTATAAGAAAGCAGGCTAAACAATCCACAAGGGAGAAAGCAGCACTCCTCCATGGCCCCTGTACCAGATGCAGCCTCAAGGTGCCTGCCCTGTCATGGTGTTTTATTACAGCAATAGAATACCTAACTAAGATAGTGATTGATGTAGGAAAGCCCAGGGCTTGCAGGCCTGGATCATATAAGAAAGGTGGCTGTATAAGAAAGGTAGCTGAAGCCCAGTGTCGTAGTGCTTGGGAGGCAAAGGCAGGAGAATCTCCTGTCAGTTTGAGGCCTGACTGGGCTACACAGTGAGATTCTGTATCAAGTAAATAAACAAATAATCTAACTGAAAATTTGATAAACTAAAAATGTCTAGTGTGCCACTATAGAAATTCACATGGAAACAACAACTAAAACCACCCCATAACACAAATGGTATAATAATGACATCAGGTGTTTTGAGGATATACAGCTTTCCTTGGTGCAAACATGTCAGAGAAGGCCCTCTTGCCTTAGTTTCTTATATACCAGGAATAACTTAACTGCAACTTCAAGCATAGTTAACCACAAAGAACAATTCTATCAGGAGACAAAGATACCAAGATGCAGCTTTGGGGTTCCTTGCTTACCTCATATCCATTGCCTGTCCTCTGTCAGTATTACACTCATTAGATAGGGAAAGTAAGACAGATTTATCCCAAGTTGGCATGTGGGTTCAAGCTGACTGTTACATTTCCAATCACTCCGAAAGACAAAACCACACAGCTGTGCTTGGGAAGCAAGACTCCAGGGTCAAATAGCTCTCACTTTATAAATAGCAACAGTATTCATGTGTGCAATGTCTGTCTCGGACTAGAAACCAATCATAAGTCTGAAACAAATTCTCGAAGCACACCTACACTTTGAAACCTTTCTGATTATGCTGTAGAAAAATAGGTATTAAACCATGGGAAACTAACTCTTTAGTAACAACAAAAGCACATTAGCAAAACTAAATTTGGACCACCAATGGAGTTTTGTGAAGCTGCCTAGATCTCCTGAATGGAAATCTAAGGGTGAGGTCCAGTGTCTTTGTATCAAAGAATGGGAACCTTTATATATAATCTTAGCTTTGTGTTGTCTTTGTGAGGTGCTTGTCATGTGTTAATGCCAATGCTACAGTATAGCTGGTTCAGATGGATTGAGAACTGGGACATATAATTAATATTCTCCTGCAATACTCCACTTAATTAAAGTCAGCTGGTGCTTTAGAAGGCAATGCCAAGCATTATTTACATCCACTTCTAAGTCTTAGTAAAGCCCATATTTTGTCCCTGGTGATGATTTTTTAGAAATGAACTTTTGGTCCTCAACCTTATATATTCAGGTTGGGGGTCTGCTCTGAGCTACCAAAGCAAGTGGCTATAGGCCAGGCTTTACAATAGTTGTCTCTCTAGCTCTATAAATACTCCTTAAAGGCAGACTGTTTGGTTTTTGAGACAGGGTTTCATGTGTCCTAGGCTGGCCTCACTATGTAGCCAAAGATGACTTTGAACTCCTGATCCCCCTGCCTCCACCTCTATTCCCCGACCCCCACTCAGTGCTGGGATTACAGGTGTATGCCACCACACCCAGCTTGGAGTGAAATCTTGTCTCCATTTAAAAATAGGAAAGCTAAGTGTCAGAGTTGTTAAGCAGTTTTCCCTTAGTGGCCCACAAATACACATCAGAACAGTAGGTGTTTTCCAAGCTACTCAAATTCCCATGTCCTCCTTTCTCGGTTTACCCATGAGCATCCCAACAAGTTTTACCAGCTTTGAAAGAGGCCTGTTAAACTCTAAAGAGGTTTCAAATAGCTGTGTCTTTGGATTACTCTACCCTCTGCACCTGGATCATATCAAATTACCTCTGACATGGGGCATATTATTTGCACAAATGGACACTAACATTGCAATAATGTGATATTATTTCAGTCATCTTGATATTGAGAGACTATCAACTACAAAAGCCAAATTAGAGGAATGCCCTTACTGCTAGATTTCCAGAGAAAGTTACAGGACATTTTCTAAAAGGAACAAAATCTGAAGTCTTTTTTTTTTAATGATTGAAATCATTGTGACAATCTCCAAATACCAAAGGCTGAGAGTTCTTGAAAATGTCTGGGGGCGACTTAAAGGGAACATTGCATGTGTTACTCACTCACAATTTGCTTCACTGAAGAGTCACAGGATGTTTTGAGTAATTTCATACAAAATGACTCCCTATAAGAAGAATAAAACAATTTTGAGTTGTCAGTGAACCTTGATTGAGGACCAAAATATACATGACCTGTAAATTGTGTTGTTAACCATATCCTGAGAGTTGTTGATTTCTTGATCATAAAAATGTTTCTATTCCAGTCAGTGCATCTTGAAAACAGGCTTTTTTTATATCATTTTAAAGTATATTTGAAACATGACTCTTGAGTCCCTGTAATGAATTTATTTTTTAAGTTTCTGGAGGAGTAATAAAGAGAATCAAGCTACACTGCAGATTTATTATTGGCTTTTCTGTCTCCTAGGAATCACAGCTATTTGTATGCTGCCATTTTATTTCAATCTATAAATGGATGTTTATAAGATACCATGCTGCTGTTTATAAAACTGAATCTCTTTTTAAAACTTGAGTTAGTTCTTTGATAGTTTAATACATGTATAATGCA